CTTGTCAGGAACGAATCTACAATAAAAAACAAGCAACGATAGCTTTAAATTTATAGACAGTTTATAGACCATTCATAATTATATAAATTAAAACTTATGTATTGCAGACAAAATATAAATATTCTCACCTGTTTGTTTTAACCAATTTCTCCAAATCATCTCCATACGTGTCTTTATCAATATTCTTGCTAGGACGATAAATGTGCGAAGCAATAGAATTGCCATCTTTCCACGGCTTGTCATAAACATTATACTCGTCGTCGTGTCCGTAACCGCTGTCCATCCCTTTGCTGGTATTAAAGAGACGTTGATCGAACTGCGCTTCTCCCGTACTAGGAATGCTCTTTGCGGGTAAACCAAGAGCGATTTGCTCGCTAATGTCGCGCTCGCGTTCGCGTTGCAAACGAGAGCGTTTATCAGGAGCGGCGCGAGCCAAATTACGTTCGCGAGCGCGATCCTTGTGCCGTTCTTGTCTGAGTTGATCTCTCTCACGTGATTCTTCAGATTTATCTGTCGAGAAAAAGAAAGTATCCCTTTATCGGTTAAATACTTACGGCTTCATTACTTTTGTCTTGATTTAATTTTCAGAAATATTTTTTATTATTATTTATTTTGTGTGTGAACTAGCAATTATACAAACCTAATGTTGCAGCAGATTTCAAGCCAGCGCGCTCTTCTCGAGCTTTTTGCGCGAGTTGCCTCAAATGATCTTCCTTCTTCTCTTTCTCCTTCTGAGCCAATTTCTTTTCTAATTGCGCTCGCATTTCGACAGCTTGACGGGCTTTTCTATCAGCGATGTAAAGAGCTTCTGCCAGCTTGGCAAAGTTTTCATTGATATGAACTTGTTGCAAGCCCCGACCGTCTGCAGCAAGACGTTTGTCTAATGGGATTGTGTAACCCTGAAATGAAACATAGCTTTGTTTTTTAGAATTCCAAATAGAATCGAGTATATCAAATTATATTTCATTATCTCTTATGGCGAGATAAACGCGATGTTAGGCATAAAATATTTCTAAACACCTTTGCGTTTTTCCAGTTGCTTATGCACGGTGGAATTTTCCATTCTTTCTGTTCCTTCACCGTCACTTTTCTCGTGGGGGAATGCATGACAGGCGCCGGAGGAGATGGAGGTCCTCGTGGAATCTTTTTATTAATCCTGCAATCAAAAATCTTTACATTAAACATCCGATAATTGTAGTTGTTCTTTATTCAATTTCACAATCGTCTTATTTTCACTGTATATACTTGAATTTTGGTGGTTCCAAAGGATCTACTTGTGCCTCCACCATTCTGATGACCCTCTGTTTTGCACCTGAATTAAATGATTGTCCTTGCTGCGACGGTGTATAACGTATATACTGAGCCGGAGCTTGTTTCTCTGCGCATCTCACGGGCATAGCTGCCGCAATCTTTGATCTCGTTATCTTTTCTAATGCTTTTTTCGTCTTATCTGTGAGTTCGTCAATTTCATCATCAATAGGTCGTTGCAAGGTAGGATCTTCTTCATTTGTAATTTCTGATGGTAGCAAATCACTCAACTTGCTATAGACAATCTATAAAAAAAAATTAGTAGATTAGAGATGCTAGTTTACAGTTCAAGGATATATATTTAAAGCAAGATCAAAACTTACTTTATCTTTGCTATGACCCTGTCTTGCTATAAGATCATATTTTACTTTTCCCTGAGCATCAAGTTGTATCGCCAAGGCATTGCTTGTGGATTCTTTGCCCTTCATTCCCATTCCAAGTGGATACTGCGCAACATGAATCTCGGGGAAAGCTCCTCCATCTCCAAAGTCCTACATGTAATATACAATGTATTACACTTAAGAGAATTACAAAAGTTATCATAATCATACGTGATTTTATAAAATGCACAAGTAATCGAATTATGCTAATAAAGAATGTTTGTTTGTACAAATCTTTACCGATTTATGGCAATTACTCACTTCTGGATTGCGTGGCACCCATCCTCGTCGTTGTCCATAAGGTGGTGCAGTAACAACGGCTTTGACCAGTGCTGAAACTGGCCTTTGACGTAGCTTTTGTTCGCGAGCCTCGTCCTCCCTGTCCCACACCACTTGGGTGGGGGCAGGTAATAAGCTAGATGGTAGAAAGAAATGAAATAACTATTATTACAACAAAGATAATTTGTAAGTTCTGATTCTATGTTTAGAGGTTAAGATATCTATTTTCAAGTCAATCACAAAGAAAGCGTCTCTTTTTTTTTATACTATTTAAGATTATGATCAATAGTAACGAAATGATTTTACTAAACATAAATTTACGTATGAAAATAACTCTTACTTTGTTAAGGACATTAAATACGATTTGTGTATCAATCCTACTGGAAGGTGTACACACGCATATACACACACATGTTACACACGCACATAACTGACACTACTCCGAGTACTGACAGCTAAATATGAAACTTCGTGCTTTCACCACGCGAGGTCTCCAAGATCAACTCATATGAAGGTGGAGATTAATAATCCTCTTGTCACTCTTGTCAAGATCCCTCTTCAGCAGCTATCCGTTGATATGTCTCAATGAGCTAAATTTTCATAGTGTTTACAGTACTTGAATACTTATTCAAACTCATAAAATGACTTCTAAGCTCGAGATCACCTTGGAACATTTTTATATTTTTAATGGCACTTATGCGAAGAAGGAAGGGGAGGCAAGTATGCCAGAGATGTGTCAAAAAGTAATCCTTTTTGATTAAATAAATTGCATGTGATGTGAACATATGTTTTTTTTTTATTAGGAAGAAAAGAAGATATTGTATTACTATCCGGAAAAGGATATAGATGTTCAAATCAAGAATATAGGGCTTAGTGAAGCAATAATCAAGTTTACAGAGTATGTATCGCAATTACGTCCGTAAAGAATATTATTATGAAAGAAAATATATTACAGGTCTTTCAGTCCTGGGCAGCCATGTGATTATTGTCATACACATAAAACACGTCAGATATACTATCAACCAGAGCCTAATTTTTGGATGGTAATGGTATGTACTTTAGAAGATATAATAGATAGGATATTTATCATTTTTTAAACTAATATGAGATACAAAGTAATTTCATTGACATTTTACAGATCGTTGGTGTACCATATATCTACAAAGAAAGAGATGGTAATAAGTATCAGAATGATGAAGTATCCAGCAATGTTTGTCAAGCTATATTAAAGCAGACATACATGATGTTTAGATTATTCATGGGTTCCTTTGAAACCATTATTAATGATCCTGAATGTGGCTCTGTAATGTTGTTAAAACTTAAACTAGAACATTTTTATTCGAGAGTAAGCAAAGTTACACTTTTTCAATCAAATAAGCCAACTAAGCTCAACACATGAATATATACTTCTACTGTATTTCACTTTCGACTTGTTTCAGTATTTGCTTTCATTAAAACTGAATAATAGTGATATATTAGATGTTTTCCAAGGTCTACAATTCTTACCTCTTGACAAGATTACGTTTCTCAAAGTGCAATGCTTTATGAATCTTGTAGAAGCTATGTTTACACAAGTAAAATACACTGCATTTCTCTATAACGACCAAGTTGTTTGGTATGTTTTGCTTTCGTTATTTCTCTATTATGATATGCATATATTGAATATTTTATAAGGCTATTGAATATTATTGAATATTTCTCTTGTAATTTTTTTAGGAGTGGCTTGGAACCTGAAGACATGCAAGTAGTTTATAATTATTTAGTGAGTACCCTTTTACCAGCTCATCTTGAAAAAGAATTACATGGAGGCTCAATACCTAGAAACTCTCCCTCACCATTCACTTCGTCACATTATGGAAAGTGAGAACGAATAAATATTTTTGTTTCAATTTAAATATAAGTTGTGATGAAAATACTATTAAAAGTATTTTTGTTTAGATTTGTTACTGGACCTGCTAGCGTTAATGAGCCCAGTTTAATTGGAAAATCACCAAAAGTTTTTATCAACTACTCTACTAAACCTGTATCATTGTATCTAGTAGTATATCGAGCACTAAGCGCTACAATATGTCTCTTTGTCGATAGTAAGTGAAATTATGGAAACTATTGGTTACATTATTTATCAACATGAAAATAAAAATATTTGTATTTTTTAATTTTCAGAGAAAACTAGTTTATTAATTGATTTCTTTAAAAGCTTAGACGGTTTTCTGGGACCACAATTAACCACATTAGTTAGCTCTGTAGCTGAGCAGTGCTCAAAACATGTAATAGTCACACCGGAATCGTGTACCAAGTATCTATATTTTAATAAGTTAAATCTAGCGTACAAGAGTACAATACATTTAGATAATAGACGTTGCTCTAACGTACTTACAACACCTGAAGTATTGAGGATTATTACTGATATATACAACGATAGAAATAGGTACATACGTTTCTCAAAATTCATAAAACGTGCGCGTTAATGAAAATTACATGTTAATTACTTGTTTCTTAGATTGAAGGAAGCAGGAGAAGTAATTATAAAGACCATAAGTGATTATTGGGTTATTGGAAAGTTGTCGAATCTGAGAGAATTTTTTGTTGTTATACAGCAGAAAAGTGCGAGTATTATAGAAATTGATGGTAGATATACATATTCTATGCATTGAATTTATGATTGTTTAATAATTTCTTAATAATTTCTCCATTTATTACAGATGAAGTAAAGAGGCTTTGCGAGAAACAATTAAAGAGTATTTTTTTCCATTGATGAATGTGCAATGAAATATATGAATTTATAAATATTATTTCCTTATTTTTACCATCTTTCATAACAATCCTCGCTGATTATAAACAGGTAATATACATTATGTGAAATAATTGTAGAAAGCTGTATATTTATACACATGTGATATAAAATGTGAATTCTCTCTTTCTTTCTATATATATATATATATATATACATATATATTTTATATTATTCATTAGTAATAAAAAATTGAAAAGGATTTGTACATGTAAATAAGACAAAGCAATGCTATGATATTGTATGTAATAACAGCGTAATCCGATTATAAAAGAATTGAACAAATTAAGAAAATTTTAATCAGACATTTCTTCCTTCACATCTTTTAGATTAAGAATATTGTTGGAGAATTTTTTTAATTTTGCTACGAAGAAACCATCCATATTATGTACATGCGGGTAAAACCGTTTTGTTAGTTTCAGTGAGGGATGAAATCGATATTGTCTGTAATTCGTGAAACCATCAGTTCCAAATTCCAAACCAGTAGGTAGTAACTTAACGTCGCGTTTCTTAAGAGCATAATCGATGATCCATTCGTTCTCCTCTGGTAGAATCGAGCAAGTTGAATAAACAATGATACCACCCGATTCTGAACGCGCGTTAACACAATCAATTGCAGCTAATAATAGCTCTCTTTGTAACGTGCAACAGCGTTGAATGTCTACTTCCGCCTTATTCACTTTTACACTAGGATCTTTTGCGACTACTCCTGTACCTGTACATGGTGCATCCAACAAAACTCTGTCGAAGCCTTTCACAATCTGAAAATGAGATTATCAAATTCATAAATCTTGAAAGCATCTTCATTGTGAGTTATAAAGACTAATAAAAGAAAATTTTCTTTACCAGAGGGAATTTTCGCCCGTCATAACTACAGATTATACAATTGACAATACCAAGTCTGTGGAAATTACCAACAACAGCTTTCAGTCGTTCTTTATTTAAGTCGTTAGCGAATAGAATTCCAGTGTTTTTCATAACAGCAGCAATGTGTGAGGCTTTACCGCCTGGTGCAGCACACATGTCAAGAATTCTTTCATTTTCTTTCGGGTTTAACGCCATTACGGGCAAGAAACTAGAAGCGCCTTGTATCATGTAATGTCCAGCTAGATATTCCGGTGTTGCACCCATAGGTACTTGTGAGGAATACACTACTAAACCAATTTTTGTCCATTTTCCTATTGGGTCAAGATTAACACCCCTATTAATGAGAGCCTGAAAATAGATTCGACATTGCAATTATAATTATATTGTTATATATATATATATAAAATATTGATTTAATTTTATGATACAGATATAAATCTACCTCGGCTAGATCGCGTCGTCTGGTTTTCAAAGTATTTGCTCGGATAGTCATAGGTCTTTGTACTTCACTCGCTTCCAAAAATTCTAATAACTCGTCCAGTGGGAAAATTTGCATCAATTTTTCTATTAGAAAATCGTTATAACTGTAATATGTACATAAGTCCATTTGAAGTAATTCAATATATTCAAAACGTGACCTATTTTTCTCCCGTAATCTTTTGAAATCTGATAACACCATGATAACGTCTCGTATACGTTGCTGAATATCTTTTAAATTAGTAATATTGGTAAGTTCTTTGTCAGTTGGAAAAGAGAATACACTTTGATGTGCTATCATATCTTCCATTTCTTCCTCAGCAAGCTTTCTATTTAATAAAAAAATAGATTTAATTTAAAAAATTAGTATTATATTACGAATAATTAAAAATTTACTTACTGTTCTTTCTCTTTCTTCTTTTTCAATTTCTTATTAGCTTTTTCTATTGGAAGTAAGGCATCATCATCACTTTTATCATTTTCTTCTTCATCTTCCTCCATTTGTTCATCTTCAGTAGATTCTTCCTCATCACTGGAAACCATCTCTTCATTGTCACTTTCTATATCATCCTCCATAAATTTTTTTGTTTTCTTCAAGTTTTTCTTTGACTTTGCTGCAGAAAGTAATTGAGTGTCATTCTCGCTCGTATCCTCTTCATTCTCGCTTGTATCCTCTTCATTCTCGCTTGTATCCTCTTCATTCTCGCTCATACGGTCTTCATTTTCATTCATATCCTCTTCATTCTCGCTAGTTTCATTTTCATTTTCACTCATATTCTCTTCATCCTCGCTTATATTCTCTTCATCCATTTGTTCATCTTCATCTTCCTCAATTTCATCATTATCATTAAATAACATGTTATCATCACTTTCACTTTCTTCATTGTTCTTAACTTTCATATTTTTCTTCTTTTTGCTTTGCTTTGCTTTCTTGCCTAGTTTGGTTACTTGTTTATTAGAATATATTTCTATTTCGTCATCTTCACTATGATTATTATCACTATAACCTTCATTTTTTATATTGGTCTTAACTTTCATATTTTTCTTTTTGTTTTGCTTTGCTTTTTTGCCTAGTTTGGTTACTTGTTTATTAGAATATATTTCCATTTTTTCATCTTCACTATGATTATTATCACTATTACTTTCACTTTTTATATTGGTCTTAGTTTTCGTGCTTTTCGGTTTTTTATTTTGTTTGGCTTTCTTGCTTAGCTTCGATACTTGATTATTGGAATATATTTTCATTTCGTCATTTTTACTGTGATCATTCTTTTTTTTATTACTATCATTTCCTACATTTTTTATTATATTTTTCTGGTTCTCCTTTTTTTGCTTTTTATTTTGATTCACTTTTGTTTCTAGCTTTAAACTCAGATCAGATTGGATTTTCATCTCGTCATCTCTTTTGTCATTGACAAATTTTACTTTCTTCTCTTTTTTCTCTTTCTGCTGCTTTAATATGTCTGTCCTCTAAAATTAATTAAACAAAGATCATTTATATAAAAGCTGCAAAAAGTATAATAATAGATTATATAAATCAAGAACGTACATTTTTTGACTGTACTTGTTGCTCTTCCACAATAGTGTTCCACAATAGTTTCTTTTTGAGCATTTTCTTTGCATTTTCTTTCAGTTGTTGGTTCTTCAATAGTCTTTTCTTTGCTCTTTGCTTTTGCCGGTGACTTAATGTATTAGATTCTTTACCTACAACGTGGAAAGATAAAGATTTAGTTAATTTTATACATAATTTTATAATCGTGAACTTTAACGCTTAATATCTCGGTTCGCGGGGCAGAGCGACACTTTTACCTGCCAGATTCTTTCGTTTCATGCAAAAACGCGTCGAATGAGTATAATTTTATCGATTTTTTAGGTGAACACCGTAGATTGCACCTTTACCATTTTATGTAAATATATTAATAAAAATTAGTCACTATCTTTCATACCTAGAATTCCTTTTGGAAATGTTGGATCGCTCTGTTTCTTTGCCTTCCTTCCACGACCACTGAGGTCTTTATCAAATTTTCCTTTGCGACCCATTTAATCTACAAACTGTTCAATAGATTTTTCATTTACACAACATAAATGTTTTTAAACTATATATTATAGACAAAGAATATTCCACAATTTTTATCATATATTTGTTACGCAAAAATATATAAATTCTTTGTCACTTACCGGTTAAACAATTCCAAACTTCTAACCTCTACGTGCAAACAAGGAAATTTAGGAAATATATAATTATAACTTCATACAGCACGCTTTAATATCCAGATGTTAATTTTAATAATGTAACAAGGCCGTTAAAAATGGCCTGGTAAAATTATTTCGATATTTTAACAAATTATTTCATTAAAATGTTATGCCGCAAAACTTTTAGAGTCGTACACTATTAATTATCGCGTGGTGCCGCTTGGTCGCTTGGTGTAGCGTGGTCAACAATCAACATTTTCCGGAGGGGAAGGAGAGCAGTTTCAGTTTTTTTTTTCTCGGGTGTTGGCTGCAGGTAGCGAAATACTCGAATTTTGAGAAATTCCCTATCTTATAACCATTCAATATTCTAGAAAAATTTGTTATATACGACAAATGTGATCCGGATACGTGGCGACGAGGGGATCGTCCTGTGTCTTGAAACGAGGTGAAAATTACATAAGTGAGCAAATTTACTAGAATACTGATAATTTCATTGGTCAACACCTAGTAAATTTGCTCTACTTTTGTCATTTTCATCTTGTTTGAAGATACAGAATTGACTCCAAGATCGATAATTGTATTAAAAATCCAAATTTATTATACGTATATAATGCATGCACTCTTAATTTATTTAAAAAAATTTGTGCATAGTAGATTATTTTGTAGGATCAATGCATTTAAGAATATATTATACTATTTTTTTTTAATGAAAAAGTTATGAAAAAATTACAAATTTTTTAACATATTTGTGAAAGTAACACAAAAAGTGTGGCGGTGATTTAGAACTTGGATAAAACATTATTTTAATAAGTAGATGTTTTTAAAAATTAAGAATAAAATGAAAAAAAATTTCATTTAAATTATAAAATTGTATTGTTAAATATAAATTATCTTATTTAACTATTTTATATGTATACCATATTCATTTCTGTATAGAAAGTATGAATTTTCAGTTTTATTTATTTATTTTTTTGCACAGATTATACACCAAATACATCCTAAAAATTAAATCGAGTAGTAAAACTCAAGTAATTAAAAAAAAAGATAAAGGAATTAATGCGTACCACACATTTCTTATTAATTAAAATAAAAAGGAATTTCTCGTAATTTTTGTCAAAAAATGTGGAACGCTTCACGATTTTGCGTGTCATCCTTGCGCAGGGGCCATGCTAATCTTCTCTGTATCGTTCCAATTTTAGTATATGTACTGCCGAAGCAAGTACAATTTCAGACTCTTTCATAATCGTATATATACTTCGAGACGTGTTTAAATCACTTTCGAGAAAGTTCCATTAAAGCTTCGATGGATTCTCGACCACGGCACTCTAGCGGGAAATAGGCGAACTAAAATAAATCCCTTTATTCACAGTGCCCATGTTAGTCTTGTTTTCGATATTAAAACTTCTTGATCTTTAAAGAATTTTATTTATTATATCACATCATTTATTATAATCGTGACTTATGCGACTGTTCAGTAGATTATATCTGGAGACACGGTAGTATCTCGGAGCCAGTTTCACCAAGCCGATTGAGTTTAACCCCGGATCTATAATAGGTGTTTTAAGCCTTAAGTCGTAAGAAATTGACCAATCACAGTCGAATTCGAGGAGAATAATCGACTATGATTCGTCTATTTCTTATGGCTTAAGGTTTAAAACTCTATTGTAGATCCGGGGTAATCAATGATTAACTGTCAACCGCAATTCTACTAAGCAGCAAACGCGATTGGTCATTCAACGGCCGATTAAGTTAACTGGCGTTGGTGAAACTGGCCCTCGGTGCATTGAACGCCGCGTAAAGTTGGAAACACAATGGGCACAAGCAATAGGCACAGACAACAGGGAATAACGAGCCGTCCAAAATTGGAATATAATATCGAACTTATACCCCAGAGCTCTGACTGAACGGCTCGTTATTCCCTGTTGCCTTTGCCTATTAAGGTACAATTTCATGCAGCGAAGCTTCGCTGGCGAAAACCCCTCACTCCGTCGATTCGTGCGAAAATGCTTAGCTAACGAAGCTTCACTCAAAGTTCAACATTGTCCAACTATGAGCGAAGCAACGCTGACTCTGGCTATGGTCCACTTGATTGGCCAAATAATTCGAAGCATCTTTTGATTGATCAATTTTTTGGATTGTCTGTTCAACGCTCCTTTATTCATGGCGAGTGGGAGTAACTTCGCCAGCGAATCTTCGCTTCATGAAAAGGTAAGAGGGCTTTAGCGAAGAGCGAAGAACGCTGGCTTCGTTTACGACGGAGTGGGGAGTCTTCGCTAGCGAAGCTTCGCTACATGAAATTGTACCTTTACCCGTGTCTATTGTGTTTCCAGCGTACGCCAATAACGTACCGTCTTTTGAACGCGCGGCGCGCCACGCGCTGTGACGTCATGTGACGTCGTCCTACGGGGTCCACGCGGCTCGGAGCACGGCTGCTTGCGCAGTAGGCGATCACCGCGCCGCGACATAAAGTCGAAGTACGGCTGCTTCCGCTGCTTGACGCTTGCATGTGAATGTACCTTAACGTCTTTCCGCTTTTGTCGTGGAATTCGCCGGTTCAAATACGCGATCGCGACAAATATGTGCAATATTCGTTTCCGATAGCGACGGGGGATCATTTGTGTATGAAACAATGCGTGTGGAAGCCGGATTTGCTTGCGATCTTGTCGATGAATGTTCTCGATCGCCTCTTTCGTGCTTTTCGTTGCGATCGAGTACAGTGGAGTCGCGAAGTTAGCCGCGGAATACCGGAGGGTAAATGAGGTGAATCTTACGTTTCTTTTCGACATGACTCGTCGAAATTATGCATATCGTGTGCATGTATTGAGGCTCACGTGTATTTATAATATACTTCAGGTGCAGTGAAGGGAAAAACGGGCGCGGAGGAAGCCAATGGATCTTCAAAGTGTCCAGGAACGGCCGCGAATGGACTTTCGGTCTCCACTGTCCGAATACAAAGGCAAGACTTCGAGTAATTGGATCGGATTTGTCAAGTACGCGTTTCATTTTTTAACTCATGCGTTATCTTGGCATTTGAGATCGTATTTCGATAGACAGTAGGTACACGCAGAGATCATAAAGTCCATCGAAAATTCCGCGCCTTGTGACGCTGTTCTACGGGGTTCACGCGACTCGCTGCACGGCTGCTCGCGCAGACGACAGACGCATAGCGTGCATAGCTTTCGTCGTCAATTCAAACGCACGAGTGCGACAAGTGTCTGCGATGCTTGTTTGGGACGACGCGGAATTGATCGTGCACAAAGATGTAATTTCATGCAGTGAAGGAAAGCTGACTTTTTATCCCCACTCCATCAATTTTCGTATACGACGAAGTTACGCTCAAAGTTCGATATTGTTCAACTAATAGCAAACATCGCTCAAATATATGAGATGTCATGTCATGTTCATGGAATCGTATCGCGGAGTCTACAATAGAAGTCGTAGCAGTCGTAGGGTCTTAAGTCGTAGAAAATTGACTAATCACGAATATGAGAAGAATAATCAACTGTGATTGGTCAATTTTCTACGACTTAAGACCCTACGACCGCTACGATTTCTATTGTAGACCCTGCATATGTCTTTCAAGATTAATGGCAATTCTAAGCAGAATCGTAAGACTCATAATGTGTCCTCGTAAAACTTGTAAGAACTTATGATTAGTATTCTAATTTTATGCATATGTATCGTAAGACGTATGATTATTCGTAAATATCTACGATTTCTTGTAAATTTTATGGCTA